AAACATCCAAATAAGTAAAACACATACAATGTGAAATCACAGTATAAGAATATAAAATACCTTGTATGTGAATTTTCAGTTTTTCTTGGCAACAGACAACAACTGTTAACAAAAAAGAGGTTTAGAGTGAGGTTACAAAGGATGCAAGTAATTTCCTGACTGTGATTGCCAATCTTTCTGCATAACCTGTTTTCCAATCTCCGCAAACTCTTCACAGAGATGCCTTTACAACTAAAACAAAAAGAATCTAACAAATCTAATAGTAAGTAGAAAATTAATTTAACCCTTATTAGTAAAATAATATATTTGAGATAAATTTTCTTAGAATAATTTCGTATAAAAAAGACCTAAGTTGTCTGTCTTCGTGCTTGTGCACATTTTCAAGGGGCAGAACGGTCCCGACAGAAAAGTGCTTCTGACACGTGGCGGCAGAAGGTGAGTTGACAAATAGAAAAAAAAAAGACAGAGAAATTAGAAAACACGTTCGGCGTGGTTGGGGAGAAGTCAAGTTCATATGCTTCCCTCCTTTTTCTGACATTACAGTTCTGCAGAATTGAGAAACCCTTTTTTTTCTCCGTCAAATTATTATCTTCATTACGTAGGTGGTGAATTCCCTGTTTTGCCCCTTCCACCACCACCGTTCTGGTCTCTGTTTCATTCATTTTTCTTCTCTCATACATCGCACCAAAAAAAGGTATTCTGTTGAGTTTCTCTTCTTCTCTCTGAGTTCTATCTCTATATATACGTACACTCATTCCTCTGTCTCTCTGCAACCGACAACCTCTGCTTCTCTTCACTTATGCCTCATTCTTAAGGTATGTGTCCCTTCCTCTTCTTTTTTATTCTTCGAATCGGTTATTTTTATGCCTCCGAATCCGACGAGGAAGAAAAAACCAAATGATAAAATTAACCCAAAACAAAATAAAACATAACCCCGTAATTTTCTCTGTCTTTTTGTTTTATTATTATAATATATATGTTGTTTTGTATGCCTCCGTGCAATCCGGTTTGTGGTGAGTTTTTTCTTTTTTTTACTTTTATCTTTCTTTGCTGATAATTGTTTCTATTTTTATGACACTGTTGGGTTCTGCAACTGTTTCTGTATCTCAACGTTGATGTTTCTGCCCGGGTTGTGGGATGTCCAAGGCTGACGAGTTTTGACTCTTACTAATCTTGGGTTTAGATGTATGTGTTTTGAACCGTATTGGTTTGTTAACTATTGTGTCTTCGTTAATAAAACGGTTTGAGTTAGACAATTGTTTTGTTTTTCTTTTGTGTGATGTGTTGTGTGTTTGCTTGGTTTGGATTGGATCTGGTTGTTTGTGGGTGGTGTTGATTTTGTGGACCACGTGTTTGATGATGATTGTAACAGGAGCTTGTATATCATGGAAGAGTTGAGGATGACAGGAAATGTTACGAACGGTGTTCGTGATGAAGGGGAAGGTAATGAGATGAATGTGAACCTTGATTCCCCTTCTAAGGAAACCTCGAGTGCGGTTAAGTCCCCCAGGGGCTCCTCGAGTCCGGGAAAAGGTGAAGGCGATACTGCTAATTTTGGTGTTGATGGGGTGGTTGAACCCTCCATTGAACAGCTTTATGAAAATGTATGTGACATGCAGAGTTCGGATCAGTCACCGTCACGGCAAAGTTTTGGATCTGATGGCGATGAGTCTAGAATCGATTCGGAATTGCGCCATCTAGTTGGAGGACGGATGAGGGAGGTAGAGATAATGGAAGAGGAAGTTGGGGAGGAGAAAGGGCAAGAAAGGAGTTCAAGTAGTGAAATATCTTCCGGATTGGATGGCTTGACCACTGATAAGAAATTGGATCAGGTGAATGAGATTCAGGAGGTTCAGCCTGCACCTACTAGTTCTGGTTCCTCAGTAAAGTCTGTTAAGGCATCGAGTTCACGGGTGGGATCTGATACGTCGCCCAAATCAACAGCCAAAGGAAAAAGTCCTGCCCCAAAACCTCCTATGCAAAGAAAGAATGGTAGACCTTCGAGGAAACAAAGTAGTGGTGTTACTGGCGTGAAGAATTTGAAGAATTCTCCTTCGGGAAATAAGTCAGTGTTACAAAACCGTGTTGAGAAAAGGGCCGAGTCCGCATTAGACAGACCTGAGAGGGCACCGATATTACTAAAACAAGCAAGAGATATGATTTCATTCGGGGATAATCCTAATAGGGCTCTTGACTTAGCTCTTCAAGCAATGAAACTGTTTGAGAAGTTTGGTGATGAGAAACCGAGCTTAGAGCTGGTTATGTGCTTACATGTTATTTCAGCAATATATTGCAGCTTGGGTCAATATGGTGAGGCAATCCCAATTCTTGAGCGGTCAATTGAGATTCCTGTTATTGGGGAAAGTCAGGAACATGCCCTTGCTAAATTTGCTGGTCACATGCAACTGGGAGACACCTATGCTATGCTGGGCCAGCTTGAGAATTCAATTAAGTGCTATACCACTGGATTAGAAGTACAGAAGCAGATTTTGGGGGAGACAGACCCAAGAGTTGGTGAAACTTGTCGGTACGTGGCTGAAGCTAATGTTCAGGCTTTGCGATTTGATGAAGCAGAGAGGCTTTGTCAGATGGCTCTAGACATTCATAAAGCAAATAATCCAGCTCCGTCTCTTGAAGAGGCAGCTGATAGGAGGCTCATGGGCCTTGTATGTGATACAAAGGGAAATCACGAAGCTGCTCTTGAGCATCTTGTTCTAGCCAGCATGGCAATGGTCGCTAATGGCCAGGAAGGGGATGTGGCTTCTGTTGATTGCAGCATTGGAGATGCATACTTGTCTTTGTCTCGATATGATGAAGCTATCTTTGCGTATCAGAAAGCATTAACAGCTTTCAAGACCAACAAAGGAGAGAATCATCCAGCAGTGGGATTTGTCTTTGTGCGTCTGGCTGACTTGTATAACAGGATAGGAAAGATAAGGGAATCAAAATCATATTGTGAGAGTGCACTTAAAATATACGAGAATCCAATTCCTGGAGTTCCTCTAGAGGAGATTGCTAGCGGTCTTACAAATATTTCAACTATCTATGAATCTATGAATGAACTTGAACGGGCTCTCAAGTTACTGCAGAAAGCACTGGAGATATACAATGATGTCCCTGGTCAGCAAAGCACAATAGCTGGAATTGAAGCTCAGATGGGAGTCATGTACTACATGTTGGGGAACTTTTCTGAATCTTACGAAACTTTGAAGACTGCTATTTCAAAACTTCGTGCTATTGGAGAAAAGAAATCATCTTTCTTTGGTATTGCTCTTAATCAAATGGGACTTGCCTGTGTCCAACGGTATGCCTTAAGTGAGGCTACAGAATTATTTGAAGAAGCAAAGAGTGTTTTGGAACAAGAATATGGTCCGTATCACCCAGAAACACTTGGGGTATGCAGTAATCTTGCTGGCACATACGATGCAATTGGCAGGTATTCACCTTTTTTCTCTTCCTTTTTGGGTCATTTCCTTTTTTCTATTTGCAGATATATTTTCACTATTAGATCATATGCAGCACTTTCAATTTACTGCGACATTGAGAAGGCTAGTAGTAAGACGATATGTTATATATTAATAGTCTGCCTAATCCAGTCACGCCACTCAGTATGTTAATTGAGTCATGTTCATGCAACTCGTGAATATAACATGTTTTAAGTTAGAATTGAAGAGAAAACAGAAGGCAAGAAACTTGATTTTGGCTTCTAAAAGTAAACTTTTCTCTCCTTTCCTCCTTTTACTTTTTCTTTACCCAAACCCAAAAAAAATGCACCATCTTTTTTGTTTTTTCTCATCTGTATCATCTTTCTTGGCATCCAAATGGACAGCTGAGTCTTAGATTTCCACAGAATGGTTAGTTAGTTATTCTCTTCTCATGGGGTTTGATATTTTTTATTTCAGAATGGATGATGCAATTCAAATTCTGGAGTACGTTGTAAGCGCGAGGGAGGAAAAGCTTGGGACAGCAAATCCTGACGTGGATGATGAGAAGAAAAGGTTGGGTGAGTTGTTGAAGGAAGCAGGAAGAGTTCGGAGCAGAAAAAACAGATCACTTGAGAACCTTCTTGATGGCAATGCTCACACTGTAAACAATGTTGTCATCAGGGCCTGACGATGATTTCTATCAATGACTCGTAAAAGAAAAGCTATGCTTTACAGGAACTCAAAGTAGCATATGCTGAAAGGCTGAAGAGATAAACCTGCAGTCTGGACAGTATTAATTTATTGGGTATAATTGAATGATCGAATAGTGTTATCATTGATTGGGTAAAATTGGAAGAGTGTAATTTTTGTGCTAGATTATTCTTATTTAAAAGCTATGTTATTGTTTATATGATATTATGTAAGTAATTATGGTGTATAGATACTCCCCTTGTTTGTGTATACAACATTTTCCCCCTCGTTTCACATATCAAGAGAAGACTTATTTTTTCTCCCTTTGTTCAAGACTCTGCATTGCCGATATTAGCTTAATGGTTGACAGTTACGTATATGTTGTTTCTTAAGTGAAGTTTGATAGAGAATGGAATAAATAAATGATTTGTGGTCTTGCCTAAAATGTCCAAAGAACACTTATCATAAAACTAACTTCGATTAATCATATGGCTCCAGAGCCTAGTCTTCTTTTTTCTCAAAAGGAAACTGAATTTATATGTCTATTCGTTTGCACTTTTGCAGACGCTTGTTTTAACGTCTACATTTCATGATAACATTACTTCCATGATAATATTGCTTTCTGTAATCCTACACAGTAGATTTTATAGAAATATATATTACGAGATATACGGATAAACCCAGCTTGGTTATTTATTAATTATTTATGCATCAAAAGATAGAATTTATCACTGTATTTTATTTTGATATGATTTCACTTTCATTTATTGCATTGGAATGATACAAACTTTTCTCTTTTCTAATTTTATTTTTAACATCTACTTGACAAAATATAAACTATACTTGTTCTGTTAGTCCACAATATATATCTATCAAAGACCACAACTCTCATCATCATTTATTAGGCATTTGAATTAAACACGTACAGAGATGCATGAAATTCAGTAATATTCTTAAAGTACATTTACTTTTGAAATATCAAAAGCAGATGCTATTTATTTAGGACGTAAAATCACACACAGACAAGGAACAACAGCACAACTTAAGCAAGAAACTTAGTAATTAAGGTGGTAGTGGTGCCAATTCAAAGTGCCAAGTTTGAGTCATCCATCACTGGGTTGAGAGAGGGATAGTAATGGGTTCAGTGACATGAGTCACGTGCTTCCAAAGCTTGAATTCTCCCTTCACAAAATCATAATAACCCCCCAACAGTCCTATGGTCTTGTTCTTTATTCCTCTTTCAACATATGGATATGTCCTCAGGTTCACTAACGAGTTATTCACTGACTCCTGCATCATCAGAACATTACAAAATGGTCACTACTTATTATTTAATGTTAAAAGCATGGTAGTTGAATCAAAATTGAAGTACATAAAACCTTTTCACAGAATTTGCATTGGTCCTTGAAATCATAGCCTTCGTATTCTTTCGGAACCGCGAGTTTAGCTGGCAAACCAATTTTCACCCAATCATCTATGAAGTCACTGCACATTTCAATCGAACAATGTACAAAAGGGTTAAAGCATGGCTAATTGGAGACTTGTTCCATCCTACACATTGTATACATTTTTAGTTTAACTCTTCTGTGAAAAAGAAGGAATTAAAATCTTGATATTAGCTATGTATTTTATATATAGAAATTAATTCTCACAAGGGGGCAGAACCGTCTTCTGGATGACTCATAAGCCTTTGGATTCCACCACAGCGACTGTGGCCAATGACCAGAATGTTTGGTACCTGTAAAAACATATGGTTGGTCTTATATACGTTGAGATTCCTCTATGCATTAAAAACCAAAAATAAAGTAATTGGTTTTGGAGAAAACTTTAATAAACCAATCATCATCACCTTGAGAGCAGTGATAGCATACTCAATGGCTGCGCCAACTCCACTGTGCCTTAGCTGTTGAATGAACAGAACATGACAGAAATTTAACCACTTTTGTTTAATTTTAAGAATATATGAAGAAAGAATTTCAGTAACATAACTTAAACTTCAAAGTAAAAGTCTTGTTAACTAATTAACTAGATTCCATTTGATCTCTACGTGAATTTTAAGTTTAACTTAACGTCATAATACTGATTTGAAAATGAAGTTTGTATCCACTTATATATTATGAATTAATTTTATCTCTAGTCTACTTACTTCCGATTAAACTTTGGATTAGTTTTAACACATCCTCTTACATCCAAAATTTTTACTTTTTAACTAAAGAAGCAGCGTCCAGAATGAACAGCATTTGGGGATGTACTGATTGAAGAAAACATGTTAATTTAGGGTATATAAGTTGAGAATATGAGAGAAAGTGAACCTGATTAAATGGAGGCACCATGTTAGCAATGTTGCGGACCATGAAAGCTTCTCCAGGTTGGAAATGGAGGATAGTTGAAGGACTCACTCGAGAGTCCGAGCAAGCAAACACCAGATACTACACCATATTCAGAACATATCAAAATTAGAAGATCAAAGGTGGTGAAAAATGGTGATAAAACTTGTAACCATTCATCACCTGGGGGCTTTGACCATTGGCAAGTTTGCCATACAGTTCCGGATTCCTACTGCAAGATATAAATAAACAAAAAGAAACATGAGAAATTGTTGAATATGTATCATATTTCTCTTTTGCATCAACACGATAATGAAGAGTTGAATTTGAAGTTTACTCGAAATTGTTGATCTTGAAGTAAGTGAATCCGAGTATGATTCTTTGCAAGGCAGGGTCATTATGTTTTTGCAACTCAGCTATGACTTCTTCAACTTTTTCTGCTGCCACTGCATTAAGCTCTTCCTTTTCTCTGTAATCACTAAGCTACAAATGTTATTATACTAGCATAACTATTCTATATCTTATGATCATAGAGTCTTTCAAGAATTTTAGTTCATCATGGAGTGAAGTTAAATAAGTTTAGAATTTTCTTTTATTTATTTAAATTTAAGTATACACACATTTTTTTAATTTTGTAGAATAAATAAATAAATATATTTCTGACTTAACTGTTACACATTTGTACTCATTTTAATTTACTTTGTTTTCCGACAAATATCCAATATGTACTGATGTCACTACACTTAAATATAATTTTGATTCACTTAATTTTGAAGGACTATTATTATCAATTGGATTCAATTCTCATCGATATTTTAATTAAATTATATACTCATTTTACTCTCTTTTTTCAATTTTTTTAATAAGTAGTTAATTTTTATTTTTAAAAGTAAAAAATTAGTACTTTACTTAATTAAAAAAAATTACCTAAAACCCTTAAGTTTTACCCTTTTTATTAAAAATTCCTTCCAAATTAAACAGTTTTAAACCATCTTCTCCTTAAAACTCATTAATCAAAACATTAGATTTTATATGAAGTAAAAAAGAAATGAAATAAAGAAAACTCAATTTTTACCCTCTTTTTACCTTCATCTCTCATCTTACAGAATCATACAAATTTTATCAATTGTCTTCTATTTATAAACTTTTGAAAAAAAAATCACATTTCTTTCGTAATAACTCCTAAATATTGGCAAAAATGATAATGTAAAGGTTTTAAATAATACAAAACTTTACATAGAGACTAAATTTGCCAAATTTTAAAATGAAGAGACTTAAATAACTGAAAATTATAGAAAAGGAGCACGTTATATAAATAAAGAAAGAAAAACTACAATTAAACTTATATTTTTAAATGATAAATTTTCTAATTTTATTTCTCTAACTGGTAACATATGATTCAAGTTAGTTTATTGTGCATCATTAAACTAGTTTAAGGGTAAGAAAACAGTGTAATAAAGGAAAAATATTTTCATGTGATTGAAGTTTATGAATAATTAATTAACCTGAGAAGCTTCTTCAGCTCTTCAATGGCCACTTCAGATGTCTGTTTTGCCATAGTTATCTCTTCTGATCTGCAAATTCCAAAACTGTTACTAATTACAAGGCCATCAACAAACCATTTCATTATTTAATGGATTTCTGCAAATTTAATATAAAACCTGTTTCAAAAAATGTTTTTGAAAATTTTCCAGAGTTTTCTTTATTGAAATATTATATATATATATATATATAATAAAAAAAAGTCAAAATCACTTGTAACTTGTATCTATACATACATATTAGCATTGGATGAAATAAATGCATTAATTACATTGGCTTTCAACTTAATCCCATCTTTGTTACAAGAGTCATTTCATGGCATAATATTTTTTATTTATTTACTCTTTATTTTATTTTATTGCATCATTATTAAGATCTCTTTACCACTTTTACCATTTGAAAGAATCTTATAAGATACACTTTTATTAATATTTTATCTTCTCAAGACAAAGAAATAATTTTTTATTCTTATGACTAAACATTATATTTAATATTTAACATCCCTTTTAACAAAGAGTTCTTATAAAACTTAAATCTTAAATTTATAATTCTAAATATGACATCTGCAATAAAAATGTACTTCATGAAGGTTTTTTAAATCTTTAACTTGAAAAAAAAAATCTTGAAGAAATTTATCATAGATCTACAAATTACATTCACTTTCTTTAACTTGAAAAAAGTTTATTGTATAGGAAAATATCATTTCCTAATAAAAACGAGAATTTTAAGTAAATTCAAACAAACTTCTGCATAAAACTTATTTGAAATACAGTCATTAAAAAAAAA